AAAATCGGGTGAAAAAAAAAGAAATAGGAATTGGGGTTGGAATTGGGTTCTATGAATAAAACAAACAACACTCCGATGTTTAATTGTCTTGATGCAGCTAAAATATTGGTCCAAAATAATTTGTATGTTTTGTGACGAAAATGTGTCATTTCTTCAGGGTCAGAAGAGAACTGTATGTAATGTTGCTCTAAATTGCTCGTATTATTCAAGGTTCGTTTGAGTTGCAGTCCTTGACGTTTTATGGTTCGTTAAGAATGTACCTTTATGTCTCATCTCGAAATATAATATTAGAATAACTCGGGTGTATTATTACAGTCATATCAAGCACGTATTCTATTTGTATTAATATTTTGCAATATTACGTAAAATTCAAAATTCGTATTTCATATAGTTTACAAATGCCAATTGAGAATAGTGGGAAGTGTTTATGTGAGGGAAATCTGTGACAAATAAGAATTGTCGTAAAGTAAACGTTTTACAATCTTAACTAAGAGAATCGTATCGAGTTTCCTGCAATTGTGAGTCATACTTATGTCATTAAAAATTCACGCGTTCTTGTAGCTTGGAGTACGCTAGTATGAAATTAAACTCCGTCACAATGTGAATTTAGCGTCGGTATTGTTGTGTCTGTGCGTGAGCTTGACCTATCTTGTAATTTGTATGTATGACATCATTCTTCAGGAAGTTTGAAATCGTCCTAATTAACGTTGATAATAATAGTAACAGTAGTAACGAAATATTACAGTTGAAATAAAAGTATTATCGCTGTGAGTTATACAGCTATAATAACATACCGTTTATTTTTCTATATTTCAATGAACAAAATTCTGCTAAATGGAATAAATGTTAAAACACGATTTTTAAAAGTATTGATCTTTAAATTGTTTATTTCCACGTACGACCTCTTGGCGAGATGTTCAAACACTTCGATAGTCTGTATATTTTAGTAAAGAGGTTATGCGCAGTGTATAGGTTAGATACATCGAGGCCGCGTCCACTTAACAACATGCTCCCCCTTTTTTCAGGGCACTTTGTCAGCTATAAAGAATTCTACACGTATCACAGCATCTTCAAGAAAGCACTCCCATTTGTCGAATCATATTTATTTCTCATCAAGTTTTTCTTGTACTTCAATTGCTAACATATTCTGCATATGTATAGCGACACTCTTTTGTGTTAGATTTTTTTTACGTAACCTAGTAATTTTCGAGTAAGTGCCGGTTACGTCACGTAATCACATAATCAGTGGCTGCAGCATATTTTCTTCTCTACCTTTGTTCGTCATGAAAGGATACAAAGAAATGAAGTGTTGACTAAACTAAGATGAAATTTTCCATCGCGTAGGTTTACGCTGAAGATAAAATTTTGGCACGGGGAAGCTATAATTGGCACGTAGGACGAATGAAATCGGAGCAACCAAGGTCGCATGTAAGAAGTCCGAATGAAAGGTGCAGTCTTAACAGCTCGATTCATCATGAAGTATTCTATCGGTGTTTTTAAATTCACGCTTTAATTGAGAATTATTTTTCGTCGGATCTTCGGTCGAATTAACGTTGATTTTAATTCACTGTGCAGACGAATGAAAAAAGGATTCGGCCATGATCGACTGAAATAACTAACTCCAGCTGGATTCTTTGTCTGTCGAACAATCACTGTATTCAATTAACCTATTCAGAATGTCTCATTGATAGCTCTTCTTCTCTAACGAAAGAGTTAATCCAGCACGATGTAACGAAGGTTGCCTGACACAATGATCAGCAAACACACAGATAAATTTAACACGTTCTAGACGGCGTCAGTCCGTGGGGACCGACACTTCATTATTCGTTTGGTCGACGTCGGCCCCACGGGACCGACACTTAAAATATTTGTTCAACCGATGTCGAACATTTTAGTAGCGTATCGAGTCTGATAAATACACTTGATTTTTATTAATATAAAAAATATACGTAAAAGAACTATAATTTATATTAACATAAAAATCAGGTTTTCTTTATTATTTGTATGAAGGATTAGTAAAAATAATCACGATAGATTAGTGAATAATTTTCATTATTTTACACGTACGCATCTATTATTAGCATGCGATTAATCCTAATATATCATATAATGATTTATACATAGGAAGAATAAAATATATTCCTTATTCTAAAAATAATTCCTAAAGATAATAACTAGAAGCGCGATATTTCGCAATAGTTTGCAACACATTCGCAGTGCACGATGTATTTTTGTAACGAAGACAAGTACTGCAGGAACAAGGAAGTACATTGATTTTTTTTACTCTTTCTAAAACGAAAGAGAAGAAGAAATACCGATTTAATGACGAAATAACCAATTTCTTTGCTATCTTTCGCAAATTTCCAACAGTTACATCTATTTTGTTTCGCTGTACGTGCGTTATCGCGAGCTTTATTGTTCGTCAGAAGCCACGTTTCCGCGGAAACGCAGTTGTGAGTCATCTCGCGTTTCGGCTATTTTGCGCACAGGTTCAGCAACAACCGGTCGGACACGCGTGAATCCTCCAAGGAGAAAAGAAAAAAGAGAACGAAGCGATTTCCGACCGACGATATATATCCTCTTTTATGTCGCTACGACACACTTTTCAAGTTTCCGATGTTTTTCAAACAGCGAACAGGTTTTATTACTTACCTAGAAAACTAAGAAGATAGTCGCTTTTTCTCTGAAATTGAAACGATCTTCGTCACGTTGTACGCCATTTTTTTCTTTTCTTTTTTCTTTTTTTTTTTTCTCCCGTTGACATTGTGTGTTTCAAAGCTCGAGGGATGATTACTTATTGAACGACGCAACTTCGTACCGTTAATTAACAGCAATAACATGCCAATAAGTGGTTATTACGCCGATTGTGAGACTAATAAATGCATACAGCGGTTTCAACCATAAGCGTTAAGCTCAGCAGCTGAAACGATTTATATGTCCGTAAATCAATCAATACTAAGCTATTTTTTTTTTCGAATATGTAAAATGTCATATTTCCCGTTTAAAATATCGATCTTTTCGAATGCAGTTTGGTTTATTTAATTTGCTTACTATAATCAATGAAGCGAGATAACGCAACGTAATATGTGTTCTCGTTGAAAATTAACACGCGAGACTCATTTTGCTGAATCATTGATTATAATCGCGAAAGATACACTTGTTATCAGATATCGTTTGTATTTGCGTTAATTTCTTGTTTCTCCAAAAAGTTCCATGGTATTCTTTTTATACGATCTTCACTTACAATTAGAAAGATCCAGACGGCGGATCTTCGTTCAGACATTTGTGTATGCATTAATACAAAATGCCAACTGGAAAAACGTTGAATTCGGACGAACTCGATGGATTTGAAATTTATTTCTATTGTCAGATATGTACATGCTGTATCGTTTCGGAGGAAGTCAATGCCGTAGTTGAATAAAGATGATGATGTCATCTAGTTTAAACGTTCAAGTATACATTCTTCGTGTACGATCGCGTTGGTTATGTCTGCCTGCGGATATTGCGATTAAACTAGGCTTGATATAACTATATATTTGTTACTGTGATACCCTGAAGTCAAATATAGTCACGAATGTTTGATAATTTTCTTCTCGAATGACACACGATTCTTTAATCTCAGTCCTCGCCATTATAAATTTTTTTTTTTTTTACTTAAGAATTTAGTATAGTTGCATTTCACTGTAGCATTTAGTATTAATTAGATTCTTCGGATATCAGTTAAATTTGTTTGGTAATTTGCGTTTTCACACAGGTCTTTTTGATTGTTGAACAAAAATGTGATTTCATTTCATAGACGTAACAAGTGGGATGACAGTAGTTAGGGGAACTTTAAATCGGAGAGGAAATACGAATCCGCATACAATGAATATTCATTTGGATCGTGTCCGTGTTTCGATGGACGTGAATACCTTGCAAATATAATGGTATTTCATCATCGAGAGTAATAGGGAAAAGCAACGGTATAATACTGATACTCTGAATAATGTATGAGATCGAATAGCGTATTGTTGCGCTTTTTCAAATGAACCCGAGTTACCCTCGACGAATGATACAATAACATCATGCGCCCCAGTCATGAATTTTCATGAGTTTCTTTTTATTTCTATCATTTAAAAAGTTGTTCGTCGACTTCTTTGAAATAATATGCTATAAAAAAAAAAAAAAAAAAAAAAACTCGTACGAGTGAACGACGTAAGAGTAATTGTTAGAAGTTGTGCTACATAAGTTTAAAATCCTCTAACTCGAGGGAACTATAGCCGAAGAATTAAACGCAGATTTCAAATGATAAATTCACGTCGTGGACTAAAAATCGCCTGACAGACATTCGCACATGTTTCGCTCTCAGCATCGATCATAATAGTTTCGAATGCATGCGAGAACACAAAGAAAATATACTCCTATAAAGTGTCAAGGATACGGTGTACGTATTGGTATGCAATTGGCTTTACTTAAGCGAGTATTACCTATTGATCTATTTGTCCCCCTGAAATATAATACCACGTTCAATTTATCTAAGACTCTGCTTCTATAACTAGAATTTTATTTCGTTCTGAAAAAAAAAATGTACTACATTACACAAGTTTTTTTTCTAATTTGATATACGAGATCTAATTATTATGATAACGAGCGCAAAATGATCAACGAGAGTTCATCACTTGAAATCCGTGGAATTAAAAAATATTTTCAATCGTTTCGTAATATGCCAATAATTTTTTCGTGTATCAATTTCGACAAGCTCAGTCATCACGAATGTTTAATTTCATTCTGACTTGCGTGATTTCAAGAGTGACATTTAATCGATTTTACTTCTGAGAATTCTTTATTTCTGAGAATTAATTCTAACTCAGAGAATTGTTTATCTAATTGATCTAATCTAAAACGAAACTCAGAATTTTATCAAGGCGTTCAACGATTTTATTTTCTATCTCGAAGTAAATTTTATACGACTATCTTATCATTGATTATTTAATATTTGCTGATGGTTTGCTGCACAGTCAATATTAACGATTTTTTATTATTATCGTGTTCTTATGATTGATGATAAGATTCTCCGAAAGATTTTTTTGATACCGTCGACAAAATTAAAAACTAATCGTTTTATCGATCTTTTTACATATGAATTTCTAAAGAATTGATTTTAGGAAATTTTCTTAGATGATAATATGCATATAGTTCCGCGAAAGAGTATTAATATCATCCGATGGATAATAAGAGAAATACTTCGAAATATTTTAAATAATAACATGCAATGCACGTATCATTCGGCGAATTTTCTATCTTCCGGGGATGAAAAGTGCTGATACATCGAGCGATATTGATATCTTTTTATCAATGAGTCACGGGTTATTAATAAAGAGATTTTCGTAACGTAGATAATGTACAAAATAAACGTACAGAATGAAATTTTTACCATTTTCTTCGCTATTGGATTTTGGTGAATGTACGAGCAATATGCACTTAGGTTACTAAATGGCCAACAATGCCAACAATTTTACGGAACTAAATAAAGTGATATTGGAAAGATCCTGCTTTGCTCGAGAGATTATATTGTAAGCGTATTTTATTAAAAATCCATTGGACTCGCACCTGGAATATGACCTAAATTCAGGACGATTGCGTAGTGTACAGAATGTTCAATGCCAACCGGTTAACATTGTGCAATGTGATGTAATCAGTTGCTGTCTTAGCCTTCAATTAGTCACCTTATATAGAAACTTGACAATCAAAAATTGTCAATGCGATTGAAAGCCACATTAAATAAGTACTGTTAAATTTCATTATTTTATTATTTATATTACATTACGTATGTTCAAGTTGAAATTTTATTTTATCTTCGAAATTGTCATATGCTACAGGTATGCGGGCTGGGTATATTGACACTTGGCGTTATTGTACACTTGCGAGTGACGGAAGTAACTGACCACATTGACACCAATCTTACCTTCCCATCCATAACGTTAATCGTTATCGGCAGTATAATCTTTGTAATATCATTTTTCGGATGTTGCGGCGCCATTCGAGAAAGTCACTGCATGATAATTACCGTAAGTATATCATTACATATATGTATATATATATATATATA